AGTTTTGCTTTCAGCTCTGGAATTTGCTTCTCTCACCTGCTTGACTTTTGAAACCGTCTGAAGATCCTACAAGGCCCATCTGCCTGCCACAGCTTTGAGGATCAAAAGGTTTACAGGGATAACTGGAGGTTTGGGGACTCAGATAAATTCTCTTGGTGGGCAACGTCAGGCAGGCAATTTGACTGTAACTGGAGATGGATTATTTTAGCCTATTGCGGGGGGTTGGGTGGGGGGGGGGGGGGAGCAGAGGGCTGGATTCCAGTTACAGCTATTTTATGAAGTCAAAATAACTGCGCATGCAGCCCAAGGAGGGATGCCATTATAGCTCATAGCTCAGGCTCAACCTGACAGCATCAGTCCTTTGCCAAAATTAAATCCCAAAGGAGAGTAATTTAAGAGGGGAACTTTTAAATGAGCAGCACTGAAATCAGCAAGTGAGGCTGTGAAACACAATACACTCAGGGCAGTCATTCTGGAGCCCAATCACTGTCTTCCAAAAATAGCAGTGGTTTGGTGGGAACAAGCAGGGATTCTTCACAAACGGAGAGAGCAATCACATTGTACTCCCTATTTTTCCAAGTCATGCTCTCTGCCAATTTGGCTTTCCCCGTTGGCAGCAAAAAACTGCATAGCAGTGCCTTTCCTCTGTATTAATGTCAGACTTGCTCTGGTTTTGCTGATGCTACAATCAAGGAAGAAACCAGAACCAGAAATGCCTCCATGAATAATCCAGATACAGTTTCTTAAGTACAAATACGCCCTGGCTCATTAACAGGAACAAAACAAAGTCTTTATGTCACTTAGAGGAAAGGAACTCCATGTCTACGCTGCAATAGGAGGTGTGATTTCTGGCATGCCCATGCTAGCTTAAATGTAGCTAGCAGGGCTAAAAATGTCAATCAAGACACAGCAGCATGAACCACAGATTGGGTTATACATACCCAACATCTCCAGCATGCTGGACTAGCCCACGCTGAAGCCTGTGTCACTGCATCTTTACTGGTTAGCCATGCTATCTAGATTAAGGCTAGTGCAGAAACATGAGCCCATGCTACAGCCAAACGTGCCTTTAACATCTGCATTTTGAGAAGACATCACAATGGTTTGCACTAAATATACTTGTGGTGTTCTCTGCAAGTATTTACAGTATTGTCCATTTTCATGAACTACTTGGAAAAAAGTTTATGCAGTCCAATCTATCGGCAGCGAGTTTGTGAAAGACTCTCAAGAGCCAATCTCCCTGGCAAGTTTTGTGCTACATTTTCAAAAGCAGCAGCTATGTCATACACAAACAACCACATGCACCCATTAGGGCGAAAATGGGTAATTATACAGGTTACTTTGGACACATAAGTGCACAGCTGCATTCTGGATTTGTGGGGCAACTGCTGTACTATAGACACTCTGTTTGGAGAACTGGCCCTTAGCATTGCAGGAGAAAGTTACAGCTGTTAGCCTGTTTCAGTACTACATTTCTATAGGATTGCTTTCTAAGTCTCTCTGCACTTTAACTAGAGTTTCATTCCATTCCAAACTGCACAGAAGAGTTCCTGGGGAGCTTACACTACAGCTAGACCTGGGCTCTGCTGGGTGTCTCAATTCTGAAACCCAATGGTATGTCCTAGGAGCAATTGACAGAGCCTGTGAAGGTAAGATTGCTGACCTAAAACAGGGGTGTATTTTGGGGGCAGTGGCTATGTATTTGCCATTCAGGATGGGTAGCATCCAGTGCTTACATTCTGGAGAGAGTCAGAGGTCAAAGCTAATTGTGGGTTGCAGCCCTGGGAACTCAGGAGTTTAATACTTATTTGCATATTACTAAAATACTACCATGTTCACTTTAATGAGAAGGATGCAAGGCATCTGAAGTTTCAAACTCATATATTGTTCAAGTCTCCAACCCTTAAGTCATAGTTGTGTACACTGGGAGCGGGTAACAAGACCTTTTCTGAGTCTGACCCCAGTTAAATGTGTTATATACAACCAGAGTTTGCCTGAATTAAGTCCATTCTACCCACCTGGCAGAAAGGGGATGATCCTCTGTTTGGGGTCCTTCTGCCCTCCTTCCATTGGGAACTTGTCCAACATCTGCATCTAAAAAAAGGGGACACAAGATGGGATTTAAAAAAAACAACCATTGAAGTATTACACAACAACTACTCAGCAGGAGGGAAGACTGAAATGAAGTCAATTCTCCATGTCAATACAGGTGAGTCTTGGCTATCTGCACATAATCACATGAATTGAATTAGACACAGAGGATAGAGCTGAAACCGTGTCTCCCCAGCAATGAGAGAAAAGTGGTTGCATGTTCCAAGGGGCTCTAGCAACGTGCGGGCTCAGATGGGCACCCTCATCATTTTCTAGTTTTCCTTTAAGTTGCAGGTCCCAATTTATGTGTCACCATTTGTGTGCTTATTCAAAGTTTGCATTTCACTCAGTGTGAAATGGGAAGTCAACCTGCATTTTTCTTTATTTTTTAAAATCAAACAAGTAGTCTCCATCCTGAAGGGTCTCAGAGTAATTTACAAACATATACACTGGGCTTAAAAACTACTGACAACATCCCTCATACCTCCCAACTAGTGTTCCCGATAATCTGTGTGCTTGTGTGACCACTCAGGAGAAATTCAAATAATGCCCACCTGATTAGCAGAGTGGCCACAACTAGGTTTTTTTTAAAGTGGTGGTACACATTTGCCCATGCCGAGATGCACATAACATTATTCCACACATGGATGGAAAAGTTTAGAGGAAACATTGCTACCAGCTACTATCAAATCCTCTAATAGACTTTCCTAAAAGGACTTGCTTCATAGAGTCAAAAGGTTTGCAATCACTGGCTGGCACAGCAACGCAGAAGAGACCAGAAAGGTAAAGATTCACTTTTCTTATTGTCAGGCTATTGAGCAGGACCTCCACTCCATTATAAAAAGTATCTGAACCTTAGGAGGGCCTTCCTTTACAGTACAGCGCACTAAGCAGAGCATCCTCCAAGGATGCCAATGGGAGTGGAGGGCACTCAGTTTCTCAGGGCTGCTCCAATCATCTTGCAACAAGGGGTTCCGAGTGCATCACAGCCTCCATAGGTTGTGCTAGAACTCAAGACAATTTATGAGTAAGAACAGGGTTCTCTTTGGTCTTTTATTTAGATCAACTTATTCATTAGGCAATTTGAACATGGCTTTTTTTCAGCACACCAAAGGGAGACCAATGGGAGTCTGCACACCAAGTGCTTCACTAGCTTTTTCCCCCTCGCCACCATTTTGGGTGTGGATTTCTAAGACCTCTAGATGGGGATACACTGTAATTCTCAACACTGCAAAAATCAGCCTCTTTGTGTGTGCATGCACATGCATGCATTAGGGATGTAAAATTTTGATTGTTTGGCTAATTGAATAGTTGATGCAATGCTGCGTGCAGCCTGGGTCAGCTGGGGAACTCCCAGCTGGTCTTGGGCTGTACATGGCATTTCAAAGTGGCAGCACCATGTGGAGCCCAGGGTCTGGCCCCAGGCTTCATGCGGCACTGCTGCTTTGAAGCACCCTCTGCTTTCCCCCCTGCCTGCTGCCTCTTTCTAACAGAGGCAGCAAAGCGGGAGAGGGGGGGCAACTAGTTGACTAGCCTGTCGACTACCTGATAAGCATTTGCTTATTGGATAGTCAACTAGTCATTCACATCCCTAGTGTGCATACATATGTATGCACAATGGTGGACAAAAATAGGCACAGATTGAATTCCTTTGATTCTTCTATTAATATAAAGGATATAAATGCTGCCACCATTCGCCTCTACAATAAAGATGTCCTACAAACAACTTCCACTTCCAAACAAAGTCCATTTATTTTCAAGAGACATCTTTCATTCAAGTATCATAATTGGCACAGACAAAGGTTAACAAAATGTAAGAGTAAATGGTTTTATGCATCATAATTAAACTCTGGGGCTGTGTCTAGACTGGCCAGTTTTTCTGGAAAATCAGCCACTTTTCCGGAAAAACTTGCCAACTGTCTACACTGGCCACTTGAATTTCCGCAAAAGCACTGACGATCTCATGTAAGATGGTCAGTGTTCTTGCGGAAATACTATGCTGCTCCCGTTTGGGCAAAAGTCCCTTTTGCGCAAAACTTTTGCGTAAACGGGCCAGTGTAGACAGCTGAGATTTGTTTTGCACAAAAAAGCCCCGATCGCAAAAAAGCCCATCGGGGCTTTTTTGCACAAAAGCGCGTCTAGATTGGCCATGAACTCTTTTCCGCAAAAAGTGCTTTTGCGGAAAAGCGTCTGTGCCAATCTAGACGCTCTTTTCCGAAAATGCTTTTAACGGAAAACTTTTCCGTTAAAAGCATTTCTGGAAAATCACGCCAGTCTAGACGTAGCCTGGTAGTCCAGGCTGCAACTAAAGAAAACATATGGCATGTTGAGCTAGTCAGCATAGCCCAGGGGGAAGAGCACAGGACTGGGATGACTACAGAGCTGGTATAGTCCAGAGTTCTAATCCTGGTTTAGACATGAAGCCACTGCATGGCTTTAAGCACAGCACTTGGTTTCCTCCATCAGTGTGAATTAAATCACAGAGCTGGGGAGAATTTAACCACAAAGCCATCCTTCCAGTAATGCATTATTACTCTTCCCTCATTTTCACCATTGTCCAATGATGGCAGCACAGCTGTGTCCCAAAAGGCCGTCACACATCTGGACTCTCAAATGGACTTTTTGGTATCCATGTAGAAAAGCACAAAATTAAACTCCATTGCAACAATCAATAGCCTAAACCACACAGACAACAGCAACAGAGCAGGGGTTTAGAGCCCCAGATTCATCTTTCCTTAAAGCATCTTAAATTGGCAGAGACAGAGGTTAAAATGAAATATTAAGTTTTATGTATCCTGTTGGCCCAGGATGAATATAATAGAGCAAAGTGTTGTTCTCTGGCATGCCAGATAAGGCTGCCAAATAATAACACAGAGAAAAACAGAAAGGAAGGCTGGTCCGATAGCCTAGGACTTGGCAGACCCTGGTTCAATTACTTGCTCCAACACAGACTTCCTGTGTGACCTTATGCAAGTCACAGTCTCTTTAGACTAGTGTCTCATCTGTAAAATGGAGAGAATACTTTCCTATTTTGCAGGGATACTAGAACAGATTAAAGATTGTGAAGTGCTCAGATTGTCTGTAATGGTGGCCAAGTATGTACCTAAGAGAGTTATTGGTTTGCTTTTATTACTATAGGCAGCACATTAGTCACTGTGAAAGAATACTAACCCTATGATTTTCTGTAGGTCGTACATAAAAATAATACCATATTCTTCTGCTGGTTTTATAAACAACAGCAGCACTTCACAAGTATTGCCTTAGATCCTTGTCTACACTACAAGTTAATTTGGTACAATTTAGGAATAATCCATACTCCTGAGATACACAAGTTATACTGTCCTAAGCACTGGTGTAGGCAGCACTGTTACTACCATCTCCTGCGTAGGCAGGAGTTAAGTCAAATCGGAGAATTCCCTCTCCTATCAGTTGGAGTGTCTCTACCCACAAGTACTACATCGGTACAGTGATGCAGCTATAAATGCTGTAGTGTAGACATAGCATAAGTCTGTGCAAACTTTAACCGCAGGCATTAGTGAACAAAATAAGAACACAAACAAAAGCTGGCAAGATTTATTTCAAGCTCTATGAGGAGAAATATACACACATGCACACGGCAATCCATGCATAGGAAAAGACAAAACCCCAGCAGAAAAAACAAAGGACAAATCAAAACCAAAACAAATAAAAAACCACAAACAGAAACATTCAAATGCTCCCTTTAAAATGTGGATGCCAAATACAGAAACATATTAATCAAGAAAGGGATATGCTTAAAGCCTCTTTCCAGGTTTGGACTTAGAGTTAGCACAAACCACAAAATGAGAAAGGTTTCATGTAGATTCATTTCCTCAATGCAGTGAGTCCCTTTCCTCTGCCTTACTGAGCAGGTAACACCCTCCTGTTCCTTATCGGCTTGAAAATAAAGAATTATACAGTAGCTCCATTAGCCCAGATTATAGCATCATTGCGTCACCATTTTTCCAGAAAGAAACTGAATGACTAACCATATTCCCTCTGTTTGGAAGGGCTATTAAGTTTATGAGTGACAGAGAGATAAGTGATGCAAACCAAGCCACTAATACAGCACATCTCATTACAGTTAAGTAGTAGAATACTGGACTCTCTCAAGGCCTTTTCATCTAGCATTTCTGAGAGCAAGCAAAGTGCTCCTAAAAGAGGGAGATACTAACAGTGCCAGAGCCAGGCATATTGCAGACAGACCCGCCGTCCTGCCATGCCTTTTATTCTTCCAATCCCATACAGATCAGCTGTGACACCTCAGTCCTGTCTGTCTTGCAGCATCCCCTGATATTCCAGACAAGGATCCCAAACGACATCTGTCCTATATCCCATGGTGGATTTCCGGATGTGCCCTAGTAGGAAGATTAGGAGACCATCAGCTCTCAGATTTTGGCAGTCACTTGCAAGTTCCTAGAGGATCTCTGACCAAGCCACCCAAGGTGCCCTCTCAAAGTCTCTGCTCAAAAAGCAAAGAATATCCAGGCTAATGGGCAGAACACAGGAGGACAGGAAGAGCGATATGTACAAAGAGGGAGGAGGGATCTCCCACTGCTCCAGAGCTGGGATGTGGGAGAGAAGACTGTACGTTATCTGCCTGCACTATTCCTGATTCTGGTCAGTGTTCCACACCTCCTAAATGAGGGGTGGGGAACCTCAGGCCCAGGGGTCAGATGTTTCCCCCAGCTTGCCTGGATCTGGCCCCTGTGCTGGCGCTCCAGCCCCTGCCCTGCTGTCTCCCCCATGGGGCTGGACACACAAATCTACTAGCCTGGGCTCCCCTAGGCTCTGGTGTGTGAGGGGAACGTGGAGAGAATCTTTCTCTTTCTCAGTCGGGGGCCACATCAGTGAAGATTTGTTTATTTGATTTTGCTTCTCCCTTGTGTCGGGGGGGGGGGCGGATTTTTCTGTGGGTCTGCAGCCCCCGACCCAAAAAAGATTCCTCACCCCTGTCCTAAATTAACTAACACTAACAAGTCCCA